CAAGGAGGAGAACCGCGGCGCCGAGAGGCAGCATTATGTGAGAGCAGTGGTGGCGGTTGTCTGTGAACAGATAGCGGCGGGCTTTCAAGGTAGTGACATATGTACAGCTAGCGCGACAGATTCCAGACCACTGAGATGCCTACAAGGCCGTTGCCTCGCGTCTTTGACATCCAATGCATCGATGCATGGGTTTTATATATTTCCCATTTAGCGCATTCTACACGCCTAGAAGACGCTCTGACTCCGCGACGTGCTCGCCGCATGATGATGGTCGGGACCAGGTGAAGGAAAAGAACGGGGTCACGTCTCACAAGAGACGTTCGGCCTCCGTGACCTTGCATACTGATTTTTATGACAGCCTAAATGCCCGGGTTTTATACCAATGACAAGAGAAGAGGGTGTTGATGGCGGGCACGCTGGGACTTATAGCATGAGAATATTAGCGGCGAGAAGGCCTTGGCGGACCTCCAAGATGGGGATGCGATGTAACCCACCGCCCAGCATACCAGATGTCAGCCACTTGCCTTCACCGCATGTGCGTCGGGTCGGTTGACTTCCCAGTGTCTTGGTACGCTCGCGTGGCGTCGGCGGCAGGGGCTTCTCCGCATGCGGAGATGGAGCTCGCCGGTCAGGGGCGGCCGCCACATGACGAGTGCCGATGGCGCACGTTCTCGATCCGGGTATCTTCGGCTCTTTCGCAGAGAATCGGGCTGTCAGTGATGGCTTATTTAGCCGAGATGGCCTCCGTGGTGATATTCTCGGTCGTTGACTGATGCGTCGTCTTTTGGATGTGTTAGCCGGCTGTGATCGCCTAGAAGTGTTAGGTGTGGTGTGGTGCAGTCCATGGGGCTTGCCAACGAATTGAAGCTCACATGGTCTCCAAAATAATGGCATGAGTGCCCTATCGAGCGAGATCAATGCAAAAATTGTCTGTTCTCAAGCTGCCATGTCCTGTAAAGCAACGACTGCAGACTTTGAGGGGCGTCGTGCATTCTGACGCCTACTTCAAATTAAGCCTGATCGAAAAAAGAGGCTTGGAAGGCAGCCAACTTTATGCTCAAAGCATGAAGTTTGTCTCGTTGATTGGGCTGTAGGAGGCGTGGCATTGATGTCTTGATAGGGGAGCAGTCGCAACTTAAAGCCAAACCTCCAGATCCGGAGATAGGACTTGCATGCAGCCTATCAGGCTCCGTCAAACAGTCGCAGTCCCCTTGAGCGGTTGCAGCACATCTGGGAAACTTTTGGCATCAGGGTGACACCTCAACCAGGAGCCATCTCCCTTGACTGGGAAGAAATGCGTGGGTTTCTGCATCTTGGTGCGGTCCTCGCGGCTCTTCACCATGGCTACACTGTCCTCGCCCTCAAGCTGTCCAAGCCAGAGATCCGCCCCGAGTTCAACATGTTCGAGTATGACCAGGAGCTCGTGAAAAACCTTCCGGGCCGGTTATTCTTGACAGAGCGGTGGCATCCCGATCTCATCCCCAAGATTGTGAGTGCGTCGGTGTGGGACTTGGTGTTACCTGGTGCGAAGGCTGATGCTGGGATTCGGCCGAAAAGTTCTTCACTTCTCATGCGGAGAACTTGTCTTACAGCCCGTTCGATATCGATACCGTGGATGTTCTTTACTCGGACTGCCCTCACTATCAGGCGGTCAGCCGACACAAAAATTATGAAGAGTCCTGGGACTCTATTTTCAAGGTGAGCTGGCGAGACACTGAGCCACGTGGCGACCACAGAGAGCTGACAGAAGGACCTATGTGTTACTCTAGAAACTGTCCAAGGTACCTGTTGGCATGCGCCAGTGGACGGGAAACATTCTCTTCTTGCCTGTCGGGTCGACGAGTGCATATCAGCTGGGATCCAGCATCGTCTTCAGCAAGAACATGTATACCCTCGGGGTAGCGGCGCACGAGTTCAGCCACGTGCTGGATCAGTTCGCACTGGCGGACTTGGTCGAGAAGAAGGGCTACAACCTCGGGACGCGGTATTCGGAAACTAGCATGTGGGCAGACGCCTACAACAACGACTCGGCGACGGCTACGCCATATGGGCGAACAAACGTAAGCAAGTCCGGTTCAGGTCGTGGGAGTGGTTTCCTGCCAAATGTGCTGACCAGGAAAACAAAATCGTGGGCAGTGGGTCGAAAACTTCGCCGACGCCGGGCGCTTCGCCATGTCGGACATGACCACTCGGGGCGGGATCATTTCGTCATACGGCAACTGGTCTGCCCTCGCCGCGCAGAATGCAGACTACCGCCAGCGGCTGGAGCGCGTCATCTTCCCCGAGGGTTTCCCTCGAGGTGGGCTATGCACAGCCAAGGTCCCCAGCTCGCCCGGGGTCTTAAAATCGACGGGCAAAGAGCCGTATGCGCAGAAAGTAATGCGCGGTAAGAACGGCAGGCCCAGCAAATACAGGGTTCGCGCGGTACCCGCCGGCGCCGAGGACGTCCCTCTTATTGTGCTGCCCGATTTGGAGTTGGAGCCGGTGGTGTACCGGGGGCCGTGAGGTGTTGTAAGAACAAATGAAATGGTTGTGGAAAATAAATGACCCAAGCTGACCAGTACGTGATGGCGGCATGAGGAGGTAAAGAGCGTCCTGCAAAGGCAGAGTGTGCGAAAATGAACTTCAACCCAACAAATTCATGCTGAAAATTCTGGCCAACGGTGACAAAATTACGTCACAGCACCAGCATTCACAACAGAAGGCAAGAGCTTCGCTCACCCGCGTGCTGGACAAAAAAAAAAGAGAAGAGGGAGAAAAACAAAACAAAAAAAAAAAAAAAAAAAAGAGTGGTTGATGGACCTGTGTGTCACAGGCGCACCGGGAATTGAGCCCGATGCGGGGGTCGAACCCGCAACCTTGAGATTAAGAGTCTCACGCTCTACCGATTGAGCTAACCGGGCGAACTCCGATACGGGGAATCGAACCCCGGGCTCGGCAGGCCTCAGGACGTGCGCCTTGAGAGTGCCGGATGTTAGCCACTACACCATATCGGATGATCGCTTGGATTTGTTGGTTGCACTGAGGTGCGGGTGGCGGAATTATATGGTGCGCAGCCGGCCCACTGGGGAGGGTTCGGCCCTGGGTGGCTGCAGGTGGCCGACATGTTCCAGACTGAAGTGCTATTTTTGGGCAACGTGCAACGTGGAGCCAAGTGGTGTTGATTATCGATGTTATCGCACTGCAAAATGGACAAAATCTAAATCTATGGTGCTTCAACTAGCACGTTCCCCGAATGGGAACTGTATTCCGGGTAAACCTCACAATCGGATTGGTTGGAGAAACGAGGATGAAAGAATAGAAAAATATCAGGAAATAAGAGGGATATTTGGGTAATGGGGACGCCGGTTAGTCTTGTTGGTACTGCTTATATCTAGTGGCACATCTCTTTCTGAGGACCGACTGATCCCCGCCTTAAGCGCTCGTGAGTCCACGCATTGATGGCCGAAAATCCACACCAGCCGACGCCAACGAGATTCCATCCGACCAGCCCTCGGCCATAGTAGCCGAATTACACTGGGTACTCTGCCCGGCTCCCGGCCGAGACTCGTTTGGCTTGGGTTCGTAGCACCCGTCGTTCCCTGCCCCCACGACTGACGGACCTGTGGCCCGACTGGCTGGATTCGGGACAGACGCTTCAGCCGTGTCAATCACGGTATACAGTCCCATACACCCAAACACGGTCATAGCTGTCGTATATTACTCATATGTACAGAAAATCGTTAAGGTAGAATTTTAACAGTGCTGAGGCTGCTGGCTCGCGCTGGCGCAGCATGTCCATGTACGCAACGAATATAGGAAAACAAAACAGTCAAAACATTAGAATACAGTAAGCCGATGAGATCCCGCCGGATCTCCTCGACGGGAACCACGCTGCCTGGATATGGTGGTAGTCCAGACGTGGCAGAGAGCCAGCTGGGACCAGAGGTGCACCAAAAGATACAAGGAACCGACAAAGCATACACGACAGCACCAAACCACATCCGAGGCTCGTGGCCACGTTCCCTACAACGCGAGCGTTACGGCCCCGACTATGGCGGCGACGGCGGCAGCTTTCAGCACGCTGGACGCAACCTGGCCCGGCGCCGCGTTGGTCGATCCCCCGGTCTGCGGCAGGACGCCCGTGGGCGCCTTGTTGAGGTACATGGCGCCAATGTCGGTCAGCTGGCCGCCGGCCGAGAGCATGGTGGCGTTGGGACCGACGTTGCTCTTGTGGGAGCGGAACGATCCGAAGAGGCTGTAGCGCTCGACGTCCTCGATGCGGTCCATGTACTCCATCGACATCTTGACAAACTCCTGGGTCGAGGCGAGGGGCTGGTCGTTCAGGTTGTATTCGGTCACCCACATCTTCTTTCCGGGAAAGCTGTCAAGGAGAGGGAGTAGATAGCGTCAGCTATGCCGCGACAGATGGGGAGACGGCCTAAGGGACAGCAAAACTTACGCAGCGGCATATGTGCCAATGTGCGACGCCAGTCCGCCAAAGTTGCCGTACCAGTGTATGGGGACAAAGTCGAAGGTGCAGTTCTTCCTGTCCCCGCCCTCGCTGATGATGTCGCTGCAGTTGCCCAAGAACTGCCTCAGCCACGGGATGCCGCCCCAGCCGCCCGTCGGCGCGGGCAGGCCGGCCTTGACGCCCATCTCCTGCAGCGGCATTATGTTCTTGATCCAGACGCGGGCAGCAAATGCCGGCTGGACGTCGGACCCACCCTGGCTGCTGGGACCGTCGGGCTCGTTGAAGGCGAGGACGTGCGTAATGTTGATGTTCTTCTTGGTGATGAGGTCGCGCACCTTGTTGAGAAAGGTCGTGTCCGAGGGATCCTTGGGCGCGCCCCACAGCATGGGCACGAACTCGAAATTGTCCTGCGAGATGTTGTTGAAGACGACGGTCGGCTCGGCCCCGTAGTTATAGTACCACGTCAGCGGCGATACGGGCCGCGTCCAGACGTAGTTGTCCTGCGGGTAGTCCTTGTTGGGCACGAAGCAGAGCCCGCGCTTCGGGTTCGGCTGCTGGGCTGCCGCGGGCTGGACTGCGGACAGGATGGGGAGGGCTAGGCCTAGCAGGATCGACGGTATGTGCATCGCGACGGTCGGGGCGCGGGCGCCGGGAACCGGAACTGGAAGCGGAGGGTCGAGGAGAGGAAAGAAAATATCAAAATATTATAAATGTCTATATGGTGTGAAATTCATGGACCGATACACAAGTCAAGTTAAAGCAGACAGATCGCTGCGGTTCCGGATAGATGACGCTCAAGGAAAAGGGCGTCAGCCAGCGAAGGCGACGCAGGACCGCGGTAACGGCGGAGACGGGCGTGGCTCGAAAAGGAGGCAAGTGATAGAACCAGACACAAAAGTTCACGGCTAGAACGAGTGATCCGCGGAACTCTTGATCGAACAATGGGGACTGCTGAAGAAACGATCGAACGAAAGCAATTAAGGAATCAAAACAGGCAAAAGAGAGACAAGGAACGCAAGAGCGGGCTGAAAAAGCATCTTCCCAATATTGCGACGGCGGGTTTTCAGGTGGGCTGTGTTCTTGCAGGGAGGTGTGGAAATCTAGGCCGCCGCGCGCCGACACGAGGGTTCCCTGCGCTGCCGATGGAGTCCTGGCTGACAAGGGGTAAAAACGGGGCGGACCCAATCAAACCAGCGTTTTGGTTCATGGCGCCAGGCGCCACGCAATCTTGGCCCTGCCATCCATCACAATCTTTCTGACTTGACGCTCTGCTTCAGCCGCTGATGGAAGTGGGCACGATCTTGGCGTTGATAAAAACGGCGCACTGGTGCCCCCGCCGATGAGGCAAGCAGATACAACACGAGCAGTAATGTCTAAATAGCACAAGGGACATTGTCGCTATGGATTTTAACTACAGATATACATGACCGGGCACACCGCACCGGCAGTCCCTACTACTGCTCCGACACAAACAGACCGGCCATGCCCATGCCGGTGCCGATGCACATGCTCGTCAGGAGGATCTTCTTGCCCTGGCGGCGGCACTCGGCCAGGCCCGTGACGATCTGGCGGGTGCCGGTGG